CATTGAAAAAAATTTTGAGCCGGGGGGAGGGCCACCGAAAAATTTTTTGAGCCAGGGGGAGGCCATGGAAAAAAATTTTTACCGGACCATTTTGCACCAGCCCTCCCCCCCCGGTAAATATCGTACAGTCCCTAAGGTCAAGGATCTAAATGTACTTGTTTCTTTGGCTAGAGTAGCTAGACATTACGATTTTTAGAAACCGAAATAAAAACATAGAAAGGAGGAATTGTACATTGTGGGTATGAACCAGGAAGGCAAAAAAATGGACTCAACATTTCCATCATAAAGAAATTGCACAAAAAGTTTTCATAAAGACTTATCCCTCTCCAATACAGTACAAATGTATTATGGTTTTTATCTACCCTAACTCACAACTGTCATCTTGAAGTTTACTACTGTAACTTAAGGTAGTAACCTTCCAGAGTTACAATTGTTCCCTGATGCTTTCCTTTAGTTCCAAACATCTTGAAACATGTGCAGACACATTGTACCATCAGGTTCAATTTAGTAACTTGGACATGTGGCATATAAGGATGACCAGAAAGTCATCTCTCCCATGGAGCAGCCAGTCAACATTTGGTCTGAATTTTCACACAGGCACATAAGCAATGGACACTCATAAATCATATTGGCTGTAGAAATCTGCCCTATTTGCAAAATTGTTCGTGGCAATTAAGTGCAGATGCTACACAACATATTCTTAAGACTTCAAAATGTTTAAAGCAAAGAACAAGAAAGTTAGTAACTAAAGAACAATCACTGTGGTGCTTGAAAATTTTGTGAGTGAACTTGACCACAGCTGGGACCAGGTTAGGCAAACTGTTATGCCACTACATTTGTAAGACTAAACATTTTAACAGCTGTGTATTCACATCTACGGCTTTTTTCTTTTAAAGCCGACTCCATGGACTCAGTCATGCTTCAAAGAATCTTGTTGCTGATTATAAAGAAAAATTATAGACATTCAGAAATCAAAAATTGGCATGCCTAATAATAATAGTAGTAATATGAAAAAGATCGGAATCTTCAAAAGTTGTCAAACCATAACAGGAAGTAAAGATACTACTGGTAATAGGTTTGTGGAAATGACTAATCTAGTGGTGGAAAAAATAAACTGAACCTGTAAGGTGCCTAGGCCATACAACTTGTCCTACCCTGAGGGGAGGTCCATAACCGTAAAATGTCACATTGCTGTGAGTGTGACCAAGGATGTTCCAACCAAGATAATAGAACCTCCTTGGTGTGATACGCCAAAAAGCAGTTACTCAAGCAACTGGATATGATTTTGGAAATGGTCAGACGTTTCAGCTAATATCCACTAGCTTTCGTCAGTGACTGGGAGACCAATGTAGGTTTATAAGTGGATGTCTAACCTTCATCGACGCTCCTTGGTGTGACTTACATGTTAACACTCTATAGTGAACCATGTAAACACACATGGCTATTTACTCATCTGCTAGAGACTCACCACTAATGACATACATGTAGGACTTGGACATGCTGGGCTGCAAAAGTCCTACAACAAACTTCCTGCTAAAACATGTCTCATCTTTCCCTCCTTGATCTTTCCAATACTAAAAGACCAAGCTGCAATTTCCAGAAAAAGAAAATGATAACAGCAAAAAAAAAACATGAATGATTTGCAACTTTGCAGTAAAAAATATTTAGACTTTACAAATTGCATACAAAGTTATGCACTGTAGGAAACAGATCGAATTGATTTTGAGTGTTGATCAGCTGTCAGTAAATATTACGATCACCCCAACATGATTTTCTTGTAAAGTAGTAGAAAATGTACAAAGATGAAGACTTTCCATATCCGATATCAACCATATTAGTGCTTCTGCATACTGAGCTGTTGTACTGCAAGAAAATACCGAAACAAAATCTGGTTGCAAACATCAGTAACATTGCATGAAAGGCAAACGAAGAAGAAATTTAATTTTCTCTGTTTGTATGAAGTTAATATTAACTGGGACCTTCGGGCGGAAATAACACCTAGAATTTACTGTACTTCATGCACTTCACTCCTACCTTGGGGGCTCCTACTACTAGTAGCACCAGGTGCACTGGAGGAGGGAATGTTAAAGTTCAAGTAGAGATAATTCCAGTGCTTCTACATAACAGAAGTTGAATATTGAAGGTGTGTTATATGCCATGGAGCAGTTAACCTCCTTGTATATGCCTAAATCAAGAAAGGGAGAGTTGTATGACGACCGCTAGGACAAGTTGCAATTTTTGAGTGGTAACTAAATAACTTCCGGAAGAAAAAGAATCGTGATTATCAGTCCTCTTCTCCTTCTCAGGCTTGCAGATAACACAAGTCATACTGACACTTACTGATTATGCGTTAACCAATGACACAGAACCCTTGCCTTGTAGTTTCTTCTTCACAAATGCCAGCTCACCTGTTTAGACATTTATGGCCGTGACATCTTCGCCTTGCCCCTAACTCCCCCTTCCGCTCAAGTTTTGCGACAAGTTAAACCCCTCTTATTCAGGAACGCAAGCAAACAATACACAAATAATGAGTTCCCTACCTTCCTAAGGCTTATTAGATTGTCCCTGTAGCAGTTTTGAAGACACTGAGCACTTTGAGAGGAAGATATTGAGGCCTGGGTGAAGAACAGAGTCACGGTAAAAATCACCCAAACAGCCGCCATCTTGGACAGGACCACTCTACGTGCGCACAAACTTGCCTGATGAGCACGATTTCGTACGTACAGGTTGTCATGACCCCATATGTGAGCACCAAATTTACCTGATGTAACATCATGGGTAGTCCTGCGTGCAGTGTAGGGGAAAGTTTAGAAAAGTTTAGGACATGTGTAAAAGCTATGAACTAAAGTTTCTCTTCTCGTGCTTCAACCCAAGAAATTGCAGTATTGTTTGGGGGTTTGGTGAGAAATATAAATTCAATATCTGCTGTTTCATTTCAATGTGTGTCAGTTTGGAATTCTGTGTGGATAGAAATGCTTGTGAACTGCTTGTCCTATTCATTGTGATGTTTTTAAGAAAATCTTTTATTAAATGTCATTACCTCCGGGGAAGGAGATATCCATCCGCAAGGAGGTTTTACTATGGTTCGAAACATTTCTGTCAGCAGCTGTTTCTCGCGATCGGCTGGACGGATTTGTCTGTGGTTCGGTATATGTATTGCTATTGGGCTGCAGATGATGCAGAACGTTTTTGTTTAATTGCATATGTGTTTATGGGCGTCGAAATAAAAGGTTTTTAAGTGCTCCGGACACCCCCGCCATGCTGAAAATGGTAATTACCATGTTGTTAAGGAATGGGGCGGTTGCAGTTTTGGGTCTTAGCATTCAAAAGGGGTCAAACAGAGGGGTGTCTGCTTCCGATAAAAATGTTGGGTGACGGCGCAGCAATGACGGCGCGGGATGACGGCGGGGATAATGGCGCGGGTGACGGTGCAGGCTGTCAGACTGTGAGACACGTTAATCAACAGTCCATACCGAACCAACCGTCAGTAGCCATCAAACACATACAAACATATTACGCACATAACTTTCATACTACACACAAACAAATAACCTAAACCAATAGAACACAAAAAAACCCGGAGGTTTGAAAGCTACGATTTCCCTTGTTTATACTATAAATTGGAGTTTTTGGCACATACGAACTACGACATCAGGCTATGATTAAATAGCTGAAAGGGTTTCTTGATCTTTCTTTAATCCAAGTCCAGTGTGCTATGGGTTTGGCACCCAGGGTAAGGAATATGTCAACAATATGTAAACTTAGTATAGACTATGAACACTTCTTCGCAAATGAACGTACGTTGTATATAGATTATACAAACTCCATCACCCCTCTTCATACACACGGACACATACATGTATATATTTCTAATATGTTTTGATAAACCTGCTACAACCACACCCATCTGTTCTCATCTGATATCCCAACCAGTGCTAGAACTTAGTAGAAGGAGGTGTACTAGATTTCTGTACCCGTCCTAGCCTACATGCATATGTTGTTGTGACCTAAAGCTTAACCATGGGGCAAATACGGGCAATAAACGTGTTCCTCAATCAGCATGAATACCGCTGTCACCTAGGTACAGTAGCTCTTATATTTACATATAACGTCCTTGTAGAAAGTGTAGTCGCAATGACGCTCTTCCTGGGCTAGCCTGAAAGCCAGACTTTCTGATGGCCTATCAGGGGCTACATGTCTGTTACACATGGACAACTAAATGGGCAAATTTATTTGGGTCCTGTTGAAAAGATGGAGACGCAGGGTTTCTCTGATACTTTGAGTCCTGAAATATCGGCAAAACTAAAAAACAATGCGTGCAGTTAACTTAAAACCGTGTAAATTATAATATGTTCCTGCTGTGTTCAGATATGTTGTCAGCCCTACTTCATTTCAGCCACACATGTACACAGTTACCCATCAAACTTACATTAGATGTGTACCGACGGCAAGACAAGGCGGTTTGTTGGTCTATGACAAGAAGGCGAACCAGCCTTGCCAC